TGCTAGGGCTGTAACTATGCATTAAACTATCAATGGATTGCAATGTTTAGTACCACTGTGGCACTCCCTATCAATGCACTGACAGTATGTGTGCCTATCAATAGTTAAGTAACTGACTTCCGTTGATAAGTGCGCAGCGCAAAATACAGGAAGAATTTTTCGTTTGTTTCTGTGCAGACTTGCATTAGTCTAATGTGAACACTGAACAAGAAATTAGTGTTATTAATTACTAACTTCATTTCTTTGGTTCATGTAATGTCATTGCCCTGTATAAATATTGTTGTGTCAAAATCACAGTAAACAGTTATTTTCTAAACAAAATTATACCAAAGAGCAGGGTGTGTGCCTTCTCTATATACAAAACCTTGCAGTAATTTAGCCTATGTGAATTTACAGTTGGACTAATGACTTTGGGAATTGAATTATTTGCATTGGCATGTAAGTATTAAGACACCAAATATTAAGTCCATGCCTACTTAGAATTTATACCAGCAGAATTGTCAGCTGGATGTTTTGGTTTCATAATCATGGTTTCACACTCAAAATGAGTCAATATGCTCTGAGTATGGTCTTACGTCATTTTTAACAATATTTCAGCAATATCATGAGGGAGGAGAACAGAAATGGGCTTCACATATTGTACCCATGTGCATGGGTGGAAATAACCCATTGCCCAACGTCCGAGTCCAGTGTTTTTTTCTGTCGGGCAAGCAGATTTGTATATCACACTGTACCGGTGTCCAATTGACTTTCCAATGTTAATTATGTTGTTTATTTAAAAAATCAACAAGAAAACAGACGGTATAGTGGAAAACTTTTCAGGGCAAGTGATTTTACATGTGCCACTGTACCGGAGTACACTAGCAATTTTAAAGTTATTTCTACCCCTGCATGTGGGACTGACTGACTGACTGAGTTTAGTTTTACGCCGCTTTAAGCAATATTCCAGCAATATCACGGCAGGGGGACACCAGAAATGGGCTTAACACATTGTGCCCATGTGGGGAATCGAACCCGGGTCTTCGGCGTGACAAGGCAATGCTTTAACCACTAGGCTACCCCACTGCCCCCTGCATGTGGGAAAACAAACCTGATTCTTTACTATAACATAAAAGTTACCAGACCATAGTGATAATATAAACCACTGGATATTAGAAAGTTATCACTTTAAAAGTAATTGTATAAAGAACAAACGCTGGTATAGGTTTGAACCCATGCAGAAAACATTTGCCAAAACGCAACAGTCCCTATAACAACGCAGTTGTTTGAAAACTTTGTACAAATCGTAAAGTTTTCAAAATGTGTAAAATTTAATTGTGGGACAATGGTCCAAATGCATGAGCATGATTGTGGCATAACTATCGATGTTGGACAGAGCAAGCATTGCATCACCAAAAAGCTACCACGAATATGCCAAGACCTACGCAAGTGTAACGAGACAGGGCGATCGATGTGACAAGTATGTGGGCCTCACAGTCAGTTGTCAAGAACCTTCAACTGCAGCCAGGCCACCATCAGCAAATTGATAAACCACTACCAGCAAAAGAGGCCAGACCTAAGAATGCCCAAGATCGGGAAGACCAAGAGTCACGACACCAGTCGAAGGCGTTACATCAACAGATCCACCTCCAGAACACATTCATCACGTTGACGAGAGCACTAGAACACGTCATCAGCAGACAAACAGTCCTTCGATGACGTGGTGTGGCTGGTATACGAGCCTATCGTCGCTTTCGTGGAATGGCCTTGACCCTTCGACACCAACGCAGACTGCAATGGGCACAAACTATGTCAGTCAGTGGCAGCTATGTGTTTTGGAGAGACTGCTCTTTACAGATGAAACTTGGTTCAGTCTGATCAGAATTGATGACAGAGTTTGATTTTGTTTACTGAACTGCATTCAAGAAGTTCATCTGTTCAATGGAGGAGGAGGCATCATGGTTAATGTCAACGTATTGCCTTGGCCAGCGCATTCTCCAGAAATGAACTCCATTGAACATCAATGGGATCATCTTGATCGTCAGCTGAGACAGCGTGCACCATCTACACCGAACCGACAGGAACTTCTTTCTTATACTTATGGAACAGGATTCCTGCTTACGTCATCCGCCGACTGATGACATCAATGAGAAGTGTGTTAGCGTGTATGGATGCCCAGGGTGAGGAGACGTGTGTTAGCGTGTATGGATGCCCAGGGTGAGGAGAAGTGTGTTAGCGCGTATGGATGCCCAGGGTGAGATGTGTGTTAGCGGGATGGATGCCCAGGGTGAGGAGGCGTGTGTTAGCGTGTATGGATGCCCAGGGTGAGGAGACGTGTGTTAGCGTGTATGGATGCCCAGGGTGAGGAGATGTGTGTTAGCGGGATGGATGCCCAGGGTGAGGAAGCGTGTGTTAGCGTGTATGGATGCCCAGGGTGAGGAGACGTGTGTTAGCGTGTATGGATGCCCAGGGTGAGGAGATGTGTGTTAGCGTGTATGGATGCCCAGGGTGAGGAGAAGTGTGTTAGCGCATGGATGCCCAGGGTGAGGAGAGACGTGTGTTAGCGTGTATGGATGCCCAGGGTGAGGAGACGGTGTTAGCGGTATGGATGCCCAGGGTGAGGAGAAGTGTGTTAGCGCATGGATGCCCAGGGTGAGGAGATGTGTGTTAGCATGGATGGATGCCCAGGGTGAGGAGAGCGTGTGTTAGCGCAGCGTATGGATGCCCAGGGTGAGGAGACGGTGTTAGCGCGGTATGGATGCCCAGGGTGAGGAGAGATGTGTGTTAGCGGATGGATGCCCAGGGTGAGGAAGCGTGTGTTAGCGCAGATGGATGCCCAGGGTGGTGAGGAAGCCGCGGTGTTAGAGAGGTATGGATGCCCAGGGTGAGGAGACGGTGTTAGCGCATGGATGCCCAGGTGAGGAGATGTGTTAGCGCAGTATGGATGCCCAGGCTGAGGAGACGTGTGTTAGCGCTGTATGGATGCCCAGGGTGAGAGAAGTGTGTAAGCGTGTATGGATGCCCAGGGTGAGGAGATGTGTGTTAGCATGTATGGATGCCCAGGGTGGGGAGGCGTGTGTTAGCGTGTATGGATGCCCAGGGTGAGGAGACGTGTGTTAGCGTGTATGGATGCCCAGGGTGAGGAGAGGTGTGTTAGCGTGTATGGATGCCCAGGCTGAGGAGACATGTGTTAGCGTGTATGGATGCCCAGGGTGAGGAGACGTGTGTTAGCGTGTATGGATGCCCAGGCTGAGGGGATGTGTGTTAGCGTGTATGGATGCCCAGGCTGAGGAGACGTGTGTTAGGGGGTATGGATGCCCAGGATGAGGAGACGTGTGTTAGCGTGTATGGATGCCCAGGGTGGTCACACTCACTACTGATGACGTGTCCCCTGACTCCAGTCGCATTATGCGACTCTTTATGCACTTTTCGAATGAACTCAAGTTGTCAAAATTAAAAATTACACACACAAATCAGACTCTTTCTTATGAATTGCGGCAAATGCAAGACCAGCATTACAATGAATTTTCAGACAAACTATTGGAAAATGATTTCTGTTTGTAAAAGTAATTGTAAAATAATTATGTTTTTGTTTCTATGTTTTGGTCAGTGAAGTTGGTGATAACTTTCTGTTTACTGTTCTGTACCTCTCCCACCCCTCACCCCTAAATTAACTGAACAAATACATTTGACACAATCATTACATGTGACAAGTTTGGACATTGTCTGAGGGTTGGACTTGGAAGCATGTTTGATAATTTGACCTTTTGTGACACTGACCTTGACCTTGCATTGAGGTCAACTAAAGCCTATTGTGATCTTGACCCCACAATACCGATCACATTTATCATGTACTAATGCTAAAAAATATACACATACTTTTCATAGGGCCAAGCTTACACAATCTTAAGTCTAAATATCCTCTGAAATCTATAAGCGTTCAGACTGATTAGCGGTATACTACAATACTCCTTTCAAACGATACATACTGCACTGCTTTCTCCTCAGAACCAGTGTACATGTACTGGGTGAAAAATAGATGAAGCTTTGTGATTATCACTATGATTTATGTTAAATATCTAAACAGACTTTCATTCCCACCAAAGTTATTCATTGTCATTAATTGACAAAACGGCATACTTTACACACTATAGTATAAGAAAAAATTTTCATTCAAAGTCAAATCTAAATTCGAGATTTCTGTTATCACAACCATAACATTTACTTTTAGGAGCATAGGTATGTAGAAAATACGCCCTCCTTGTACAATCAATGCCACTCACTGTCGAACATTAAAGCTCCCAATATATAGCAATGTAGCAATGCGTATCAGTTGGTTGGTTTGTTGTTCAATGGGGCACTCAGCAATATTCCAGCTGTGTGGCGGCAGTCTGTAAATAATCAATTCTGGACCAGAGAATCCAGTGATCGACAGCATGTTCACAATATGTTCAGAATACCATACCAGAATCACAATATTGCAATGTAATATTTATTTGCCAACACTGCCCTTACAAGCCTTGTTTTGACAAAACTAAGAGGAAAAGTGATCAAATCTGAATAAACACATTGAGCAGCAACCAGTGGATTGAAACCGTTTCCATACCAGTAAATAATTAAGTGTATTAACTCTCCTTAGAGCTCATTAGGAAATAGATCAATGAGAATAATTACGAGTAATAATATATATATCTAGTCGTGTAACTGCTATGGAAAATTACCTAAGTACACAATAAGATTATAAATAACGAAAAATAAGCAGAAACATTTCATGAATGCCATACATCATGAAACTTGACCTACGACCTCCCCAATGCTATATTTGGACATGTCCGTTTCATCACCATATAAGGTAAACAAAACCAAATGCCCATATTTGGATCGAAGGATTAGTCACCCTCCATTCGGACCAAAGCATAGAAGGCTATTGCTCGAAACTTCATTGAAGCTACAACAACCGACTGAAAGTGTTAAACAGTGGTCTAAATGACGATACGTATGTGAACAATGAACCTACTTACTCTCAACGAAGTTCGACATACATCATCACATTATAATTATCCCATTTTCTCCACGAACACACGCCAACCAATGTTACACTCCATACTGTTTTGAAGAGCGGATTCTTATAAGAGGACAGTATAATCACGTGATCGCATCTGACGAATTGAAGGCGCGAAAGGTAATACTGCCTTTGTAGCAGTTATGTCCCTTTGATATTGACAGTGTTTGTTTTAATATAAAAATGATACCGGTTACCAGCGTTCTATGTCAATATAATAAATCAACGCACGGTTACTACCGTGTTACGCGAACACATCAATACAATCCGATCCCACGAACTGTTGTCCTACTGTCGGGGCTTTTCCAGGTCGCTGTGATCACGTGACAGGTCATATCCGTGTCTTTTCGATTAGATCAACGATGACTACGGTCAATTCCCATACACGGAGTCTTATATTATCTGCATGGTTCATTTTGTTTGTACTGTGACATAGTGACGGTAATATTGCCCTTTCCAAAGTCGATATTAGCACATACACAATAATTACAGCTGAGGGATGTTTTCAGCTTGGGATAGGCTCATTTGCTTCGACTGGCTGTTGTTTGGCAGATCGCCAATGCAATTTAAGTAGACCAATCCTATCAGTCGGAGTCTTTATTCGTGGAAGGTGTAACTGCAATAGAGTGTGCTAAATATAGACTCCATCGCCTGTTTGGGAGCGTAACCAAGTCGAAAGCCTCACTCTGGAAGGCTATGTATACGTTAGCACCCTCCTCAAGGGTGATATGGATTTCAACGCTCGAGCCGTCAGGCGAGAGCGTTGAATCCATATCACCCACAGAGGGGGGGTGCTAACCTACTTATACCACGTGGGCGCCGAATGGACTCGTACATTGCTTGTTGCACGTGCGTTTCCTGCACCGCCAAGGTTGTTATCCACATTAAACCTCTGCACGTGCAGATAGAAGGTTGATACACAGAAAATCAACCTGCCAGAACAATGGACATAACATACCCTAGTGGTATAAGGATCAGAAAAACACCACTCAACCTGCTTTATAAATATCATTCGTTGTTGCGGGAGTACTAATAGCTGTATTTATTTAGAGTTTGGGAATTTGAACAGCAATGTTCTCATTAAAGATGCTACTGACCTGGCATAGGGTAGAAACAAAATTTTGTTTATTTGTACACGTTTATTGTTTTAACTCCATACTCAGCAATAATCCAGCTATATGACGGAGGCCAGAAAGTCTGGACCAGACAAACCAGTTATTGACGTCATGAGCATCGATCTACGCAGCTGTGATACGATGAGATGCATCAATCCAGTCAGCGAACCTGACCACCCGATCCCGTCAGTCGCCTCTGACGACAAACATGTGTTGCTGAAGACCATATCACTGTAAGGTATCCATATAAGCATCCGCCGTAGAAGTTTCGCGGTAGAAGTTTCCGGTTGTCTAGTGCTATGTTGTTGTAGGTGCTGGTTGTTGTTGTGTGTTGGCGGACAACACAAGTCCGTCTGCGGTGCCACAACGTTTTATTGTGAGCTTTCTAACTTAAAAATTGGAGCTTGGTGCTCAGCTCCGAGTTTCTAACTCACTAAGGTTAGTAGAAATGCTCATGAAACTCTTGTTCAAAAATGGTAATATGGCAAGACCATGTGGAACTTGTCCACAACCTTACTGCCTTCCTAAAATGGTAATATAATCATCCTACTCTTGTGAAACCTCGTCCACAACCAAAGCATGCCTCTCGTGCAGTGGTCATCATAATCATCATAAATTATGTTTAGCCTCCTGCGTCCATTACCAGGACAACGGCCAAACAGCTGACCAGTGCACGCCTGGCCTGTGATCCCGTTACAGTGTGCGAAATAGCCACTGGCCCGCTAGCCCGTGGCTAGTAAAACTCCAGTCGGGCCAGTAAATCTCCACAGTCACTGGCCCGACGGGCTAATGAATTTTCATGGGGTCATTTAGTAAATGTATCACGGTCTCTGACTAGTTTATTTATGATACACTTTTAAATCATGCAAGGCCTGATAACAATCATATTAGCAGCTTAATGAAACCCGTGTCTACATTCAAATATCGGGCTAGTGATTTATTTTGTGGGCCAGTAACCTTCAGGCATATAGCTACGCCCGTCTGGCTAGCAAAATTTGGAAATTATTTCTCACACAGGCGCTAAGTATAGAACCTTGATTTGAATGAATGTCAGTTTATACAAGTGAATATTCAGGGATGGCCTAAAAGTCGGGCCGGGCCGGGCCAAGGCAGACCAACTATATTATTGGCTAATAAACCCATTAACGAAAACCATGCCTACAATCAATTAATGCAATATACAGTCATGATAATAATGATCCATCGGAAGCCATAACGGGTACCATAATAACTTTATTACGCGTAAATCGGCTAAACCTCAGAAGGACGAGAAGCCTATGAACTGGCTGACCGAGGTTACATCTAAAAGTTAAACGAAACAGGATTTAAAACGTATAAATACTTCAGTCAACTCCGATACACATTTCCGTCGGCCCGAAAATGTTTTCACACACACTCACACACACACACACACACACACACACACACACACACACACACACACACACACACACACACACACACACACACACACACACACACACACACACACACACACACACACACACACACACACACATATTCACACTATTCATCGTATTTAAAGCATGCCCACATTTAAATGATACGATTTCTTCCCCACACTCTCAACATTATCTCGGCCACAATTGTTCGGTCCGGCTTGGCTCGAGCCGTCAAAAGCAACTTAAACGTAACACACGTATCTTGAATTGTATTTAAATCCACAGATTGGTATTATATCTACCTAAATATCGCTTTGTAATGTTATCAAATGCAACATGTAAAGATAACTGGTCCGATAAAGTGAAGCCCTTTTCTCTCTCCATTCTCAACATAGCCTCAATCAAAAGGCTGTTAAGCCCGACTTGGCCCGGGCCGTCAAAAACAACTTAAACCTCACACCTTGCTGAAAGTGAAGCTCTCTTTTCTACACATTCTCAGCAAAGACACTGTATCACAAGCGTTCGGTCCGCCTTGGCCCGGGCTCTCAAAAACACCTTAGTAGATATACATTTCATTCTACAGCACAGACGATCCCACATCCCACCCCCAAAAAATCCCACATTTCATGCTCCAGTTAGCAAAAAACAGTGGAACATTTCCAGAAATCCTACATCCCATTATAAATCAATGGTAACCAGCTACCAGAAATCCCACATCCCACATTTTATCACATCCTAAATACATCCTAAAATAGCTAGCAATCCAGTAATTTTATCCCACATTTTATCCCACATCCCACATTTCATCCTAAAATAGTCTCACAATACAGTAATTAGCTAGCAATCCCACACCAGCTTCATTAAGTATATATATATAGAACAGATGTATAGCTGTATAACATCACAGTGACGCTGGTTGGGGGTAAAAACTAGGTTATACAATTAATGTTAATGTATTACTTCAAGAGTATGCTTGCAAAATATATCAGTCAGTTAGGCTTGAACATACCATCACATAGACAACGTGATCAAACCAGGAGACCGAAACGCATGACTTACACGGTTTGGATAATTGAGTAGCTAAGCAGGCAGCATATGGGTTGATGTTGTTTTAGCAATCACTACCAATAAAACAACAAAAAGCAAGACTTTTCTGGTTTCCTATTATTATTATTTTATTATAATATTCATATTGCTCCGACGTGCTCGCCTGATCCAGTTAGGTTCTGTAGCTTTTCAACAGATCACTAATCACGCGGCTTAAAATGTATTGTTTGCAACAAAATCTCCCTCAGTTTTCTAGTGAACTCACTATCGCATATGTATAAAGACAATGTACGTTCCAAACGAATACAATTCTCGTTTTAGCCTAACTGCTGTAATTCTATCTAACGACCTATCACTTGATACAGCACTCACATAATAACAAATTTCAATAAGAGTGGAAACACTGAGGATACCTGTACATGATAGTCCTTTTGATGAGGTAAAGTGCACAAAATGATTAAACAAAAAAGAGATAAAGTACTGAAACATCTAATCTATATAAATAATGAATATACTTACCTTTTTTAAGTTATCCTTAAATTCTTCTTTGAATCGGTGAAACTCCACAATAGCATCGGCTCTAATCAGATATTCAACAATAGTTTTCATGTCATCGATATCAATATGACAACAGAGCTAGTGCCTGACCTTTGAATGGAAAGTGATCCAAACAGTCGATCAAAAGTGAAATGAAAGTTTTTTATAATATGACTCAACAAACAACACGTGGTTACGTTGCTTGTCTTAGATTTAAAATTTCTAACTTCTTGGAAAAAGTCGATAAATAACGCTTTTAATTTGGAAACTGTTTCAAAATCTAAAATAAAATCCCAAGCGTTATTATTTCTAAATTTAAGTTCGTACTCTGTTTTCGTAGCATTAAATGTAACGCGAACACCCATTACATGAAATATTCCAACTAAATCCGTTGCGTACAGTGGTGCGCTTTAAGATGTAAACGAGTTTTGCAAACCCTTAAATAGGTTAAAAGCTATTGATGATGTGGCATGTATGCAGACTTAAACGAACTGTCGCGGTACTAACAAATTCTTTTCATCACCAATTCTTCTGATAAAATGTTGAAACGTGACAGGGAAGGGTCTTGAACATCTCAGTTCTATAGACAGTAATACAAAGCGAACCATCTTGACCTACAGATCAAAGACTTGTCAGCACTTCGACACAATAGGATAATGAGAAAACCGAAGCATGAACGTGATACAGCGTTTCTCTTGCTGTGGATGACACAAGACGAATTTCAGGGCACGAAATTACTACCACGAAATGGAGTCGTGATGGACTAGAGCGTGCATGTGTCTTGAAACAAAATCGCTAGATGTTTGAGTCTATTCTGGAAACTCGTCCCAGCCAAGAACAAACCGAGAAACTTTAACACCTCGCGGGTTTCAATTAGTGTCTCATTGTCAGTCATCAAATAACACGCCGACGCCACCTAGACACCGCCTATGCATCCACTTTCAACATTTACCACTGAGAATCATCCAGTCACGC